GAGATTTAAGATGATAATGAAAATGATAACACCAGTGATAATGATAAAAATAGTAGCGGTAATAATGTTATGAATCCTAATATCAAGGTCGTTCCCAGTGCTGTCTCATTTAGTCTGTATGTGGATGACTTTACACTGTACTGCTCAGGAGGAAGCTTACAGGATGTGCAAGGACACATGCAGACTGCAATAAATCAGGTTGTGGAATGGGAAACATACCATGGCCTCAAATTTTCTCCAAGCAAGACCATGGCTATGCATTTCCACAAACGAGGAGTTCCATCCTTCCCTCTATTTAGGAGCAAACCCACTGCATTTCGTCCAACAGGTAAAGTATCTGGGTCAAAATTTTGACTCAAAGCTTACATGGGTGCCTCACATTAAACAGTTAAAGGTGAAAGCTACAAAAGCGCTCAGTATTTTGCGGGTTCTTTCACACCTATCTTGGGGTGCCGACCGTACAACGCTTCTGCGACTTTACCGAGCACTTATTCGTAGTAAACTCGACAATGGATGTGAGGCTTATTCATCTGCAACTGCCACTGTTCTTCGGATATTGGACTCGGTTCATAATGAAGCTCTGAGAATCATTATAGGGGCTTTCAGGTCTGCACCTGTGGAGTCCACCTCTTTCATTACGCCGGGACTACATGAACCTGATTTACTACACGAGACTACACAGGATTCCGGGATCTCCTACATCCAGATTGGTTTTCAACCCCCTTGAGGATAGCAGATCCTATGGTAGGAGAATAAGGAATCTTGGGGAAGATCTTAATTTAAATCTCACAAAGGTTCTGGCTCTTGGAGCTTCCCAAGTCCCTCATTGGACTAATCAAGTCGAGCTAGATTTGGTCGGAATTGGGAAAGGGGAGATATCCGACGCAGAAGTCAGAGAGATATTTCTTCAACACACTTCTAAATACCAGGGATCATATGCAATATATACAGATGGTTTGAAATCTGAAAATGATGTAGGCTTTACAGCAGTGAGCAGAAGGAAGACTGCATCTGGCAGTCTTTCTCGATCAGCCTCGATTTTCACTGCAGAGTTACATGCCATCCTTGTAGCAGTCAAGATGAGTAGAGATCTTACAAACCCTTCTGTTTAATATATTGTAACTCTCGTAGTGCCTTGCAAGCAATCAAGAGTTTACACTCGTCACATCCAGTGGTGAGGTAAGTTCAAGATTAGCTTGCACTGATGTCAGCACGTAAAAAGATAACTCTGTTGGGTGCCAGCACATGTTGGTATCAGTGGGAATGAGCGAGCTGATCAGAAGGCCAAGGCAGCTCCTCTCCCACACACTGACATGAAACCCATCATCAGAAGTTGTCTTCGTGATAAGTGGAGGGAACAATGGAGGCATACCTCTAGAAATAGACTACGAGAGATTATAGATGACCTTGACAATTGGGTGACCAGCATCCATTCCAACCGATAAATAGAAGTTGTATTAATAAGGCTGAGAATTGGGCACACAAAACTCACTCATGAGCCGATGATGGCTAAGAGTGAAGCACGCTGTGTGGATGCCAAGAGCTATTAACGGTCGCAAATTCAGGTACGGAGCAAAATGAAATGCTAAAATTTATATGAGACTTATCAAAGTAAGGTATGTAATAATCACACGCACAAACTAAACATTTCATTACATAAAAGAACGAATCCCTCGTTATGTTATGATTTCGGAATAGCAATATATTGCTAATAGTAGTGATATCATTAATATCAAATACCAGCATCTATCCACTTACAAGGAGTGAATAGTTTCTTAGTATTATTTCTTTGTGCCGTAACTTTCTCTCTCTAAAACATAATAATATTGATAACGATAATAAAAAAAATAGTAAATTAAAAAAATATTATAAAGGAGATAAAAAATTGTTTTCTTATTTCAATATTTATATAAACTTTGCCTGATGACTTTTCGTTATTTGGGTATACATTTTTCATATATGAACATTAGGAAATAATTTATTATTAAATAAATACTAAATGGAGTACAGTAGAAAAAAAAACACACACTGCTTCACCTAGATGTTACTGTTCGTAGACAAATATTTATTAAATCATATGTAGATTACTGATTACTGACTGATTTTTTTTACGTTTCTATTAGCATCATTTTCATCGCTAAAATTGATATATTCATTTATTACTAAAACACGTGGGGAAAACAAAAGACTTGGAAGTCGAATCCAAGTCCGTCCACTTCTGAGTCAAGTGTTTTACTTATTGAATCATTTTGAATAATAACCTGCAGGATATGTTACTTTTCTTTTGTGTTGTATTCATCCTGCAAGATCATGTTTAGTTCTGGTGTGATTGTGATGGCAGTAATGATAATACTGCTTGACAATAAGATTAATAATAACAATAATAATGATAATAATAGTGATAATAATAATAACAGTACTAATGATAGCATCACATACCTGGCTGTTATCTACTTGTAAGGAGTGAAAAAGGTTCTGATTTCCCTAATGGTCTCTCCGG